CTGGGTCCCATTCATGGCACTGGGACCCGCTGGTGGCACTGGGTCCCACTGGCAGCACTGGGTCCCATTCATGGCACTGGCGCCAGGCCCTGCTGACGGTGCCTCGCGGCTGTCTCCGCAGGCCAAGGGGGCAAGTTCTGGTACGTGGCGAGCAGCGGCGCGGTGTGCAGCGACGGCGACCTCTCCGAGGATTTCTTCTTCGAGTTCCGGGAGCGCGGGCGCGTGGCCATCAAAGGGAAGAACGGGCGCTACCTGCGCGGGGACGCGGCGGGGACGCTGCGTGCCGACGGCGAGGCCGTGCTGCGCGCCACGCTCTGGGAGTACTGAGCTGCGCCGCGGCCGACCCGGCCCCCGCTCCCGGCATTAAAGCCCCTCTGGATTGCACGGCGGCACCGCGTCTTCCCTGGCTGGCGAGCAACGTTGTGCCCGGCCCGTGCTCCCCGCGCATGACTGGGACCTGAGGGCACAGCCCGGGCCCTGGCGCCCGGTGCCCACGGGATGTGCAGGGGAAGGGGTCTAGAATGGGCACCGTGAGGATGGGACACGTGGGCCGGTGGAGCGGGGCGCTGGATGGGCAGCCCTAGCGGGTAGCAGCCCCCAACCCCTCCCCAGCGGCGCAAGGAGGAGCGGGGCAGCGGCTGAGCAGCAGAGCGTGTTCATGGCACACACAGGTAGAGCGGGCGGCGCTGCCCCCCGCGCGGGACCCCCGGGGCGCCCTGCGTCGCCGAGGGGCCGCGGGGAGCGCGGCGCGGCCGCCGGCACGAGCACGACACGCGGAGAGAGGCGGCGTTGCCGCTCACAGCACCACCAGGCTGGGGTTGCGCAGCTGCCGGTAGACGTGCAGCAGCTTCTCGGCGGCGGCGCCGTCCTCGCCGCGCGGCGGCCGCTCCCGCAGCGCCTGCGCCTCCTTCAGCAGCATCTGCGGGAGCCCAGGGCGTCGGGGCAGGCGGGCGCGGGCCGGGGGCGCCCGCGCCGCGCGCTCCCGCTCACCTCGTGGTTGGCCTGGATCTGGCGCAGATACTGCATGCGCAGGTCGGGGGGGCCGCTGCCCTGCGCCGCCTGCTCCAGCACCAGCGCCTGCGGGAGCGCAGCGCCCGCGTCACCAGCGGGCTCCGTGGGGCGGCCCGCTGTGGGGCAGCGCAGCCCTGGAGCCCCCGTACCTGGATGCGCCGGATCACGGCGTGGTGCACCCGGCACATGTCCGCCAGGGAAGGGCTCTCCATGAGGATCTCCACGGCCTGGATGGGGCCCGCGGGGCTCAGGTCGTTCATGGACACCTGCGACACGGAGCACAAGGAGCTGCCATCGTGGCCGGGCGCTGCTGCCCCCCGTCCTGTCCCCAATGCCAACGTGCCCACGGGTGAAGCGGGAGCCGGGAGAGCCGGCGGCCCAAGGTGGGGTCCCAACAGCCCTGATGAGCCCCTAGGAGGAGAACGCGACCCCCTGCACTCCAGGACGATCCGATGCCCGTCCCCGCATGAGCCGCGCGCTGCCACCTTGGCGGATTTAATCCTGCAGGCTTAGCCCGAGCAGAATTAACGGTGCCGCTAATCACGTCGGCAATATCAGCGCTCTCAAGTGTGAAGCAACCTGGGCAGGTCGCTGCCGCGCGCGGCCCCGGGCCTCCCGGAGCAGGGTTAACCAGCCGTGGCAGCAGAGCCGCCGAGCAATTAGTACTTTTCCTTCACGCTTAGAGAGGGATTTTCGCATTAAAGGGGGAAAAGCTGCAGCAGATCAGATTTAAATCCAGAATCCAGGCACGTTTTCCCCTCGCTCTGCAGAATTAGCAAAGCGCGGCAGGACAAACGAGCGGGGAAAGCTCCTTTCCTCCCACACCCCAGGCCGGGGCGCTTGCTGAGGGTCTGCGGGGCCGGGCAAGGGGCGGGGACCGCGGCTGGGGACTGGCTGCAGCGGGACGAGGCACCAGGGACGTGCTGGAGTGGGATAAGGCACTAGGGATGGGCTGCAGCGGGATGGGGCACCAGGAACGGGCTGCAGCGGGACGGGGCACTAGCAGCTTGGGGCTGGCACAGAGGGGAACAGCAGCCCTGCCCACGGCACGGGGGGTGTCCCCGGCCGGGAGGCTGCGCGCGGCATCGCGGGGCGCCCACAGGACCGAAGGCAGGGCCGGGCCGGCGCGCTCGCTTGCCTCTCGCACGCGCAGCTGCACCTCTCCTCCGCGCGGCGCGGCGCCGCGCACGGCCGCCACCTCGGCGCCGCGCAGCGCCTCGGCCGCCGCGTTGTCGGCCAGCAGCCAGCGCAGCGTGGCACAGCTCAGCGGCACCCCTGCGGGCGACAGCGGCAGCGCTGGGCCCGGCGCCCGCGCACCACAACCCCCGCGCAGCACCGGGCCCTGCGCCGGGCCGGCGCTCCCAGGGGCCGGCCCCCATAGGAGGGGACCGGAGCCTGGGTGCTGGCAGTGGGCAGGGACCCCAGCACCAGGGAAGGGGAAAACAACCACCCAGCCTCCAAGGTGGGTCCGGGGGCCTCTGTGGCCCCTGCTGCCTCTGCCCACAGGAGGCACCCACCGCTCCTGGGAGGCTCCTGCGCAGGCAGCACCGGAGGGACCCACCTGAGCCGGAGTTTTTCAGTGCGTTTTTCAGCAGCTCCGAGGACACCCTGATGGAGGCCGCTGACGGAGGCAGGTCCCCGTCTCCCGGCTCGCCGTCCTTGCCCGTGCTGGGCTCCGTCTGCTCCCGGGCCACTTGCAGGAAGGTCTCCACGGGCTCCGGGGCGGCGGGGGGCGCGGGTGCCAGCGCAGGGGCCTCGGGCCCGCGGGGGCCGCTCTCCAGGCGCAGGCACTGCAACATGTCAATGGTGCATTCGCTGAGGGGCAGGCAGATGCCCTCCCTGTCCGGGGACAGGATGGGCGAGTCGTCCGGGAAGAAGTCGTCCAGCGCCTCGGGGGAGTCGCAGCCGCTGCCCAGGATGTCTCGTAAACTGTAGTAGAGGGCACAGGAGATGGTCAGAGGCAGGTCCAGCTTGGTGTCCGCAGCGGAGCCCAGCGGCAGCGTCAGCTCCCTCTTGTTGCCGGGCAGGAGCTGGTCGATGGGGAAGGTGAAAGTGGTGCCCGAATCCACAGAATCCTCCTCTAAGGCACAGGGGCTGGCTAGGAGCTGGACGCACAGGGTCCAGCCCTGCTCCAGGCTGTACTCGCTGCAGTTCTCCAGCACGCAGGAGATGGTGACGGTGTCCTGGAGCAGGAGGCAGCTCCAGTTGGCAGTGACAGTGCAGGCGATGGGCTTGTGGCCGTCCTGGCTGGAGAGCAGCGCCGCGCTCACGTTCATCACCTGGTTGAGGCTGGCGAGCGCGCGGTTCTTCTGGTCCACCGCCTTCTTCAGGAAGGAAACCCTGCCGGGAGAGAACCGTCCCCTCGCACACAGGGGGCACAGGGGTCTGCAGCCGCCTGCCTGGCACCGTCCCCGGCCACCTCCTGCCACGGGGGCTGCAAATGCCCGCCCGCCTCCCCGGGGCAGGGGCAGCCCCGGCGCCGCTCCGTACCCGGCAGAGCGAGCGGCTGCCCAGCGAGTATCCCGGGGGAAGCGCCCCGGGAAGCTGGACAGTGGAGTGGCCGCTGCCTGGTGTGAGCACTGCACACAGGCGGCTGCAGCGCCACACATGAGTCACTGCACTCCTGCACACACGGCGCTGCGCGGCGGCCACGGCTGCGCTCACCTCTCGGAGGTGTTGCCGATGCCGGAGAGCAGCTCCTTGATCCTGCGGCCGGCCTCGGCGGGCGTCAGGCTCGTGGCCGGGGCCTCCTCGGCGCTGCAGAGGTCGCAGCTCACGAGCCGCCCCTTGGCGGACAGGGCCAGCAGCTCGGATTCACCTGCGGGGACAGGGGCGCCGCTGAGGGCCGGGGCGGCGGGCAGGGGCGCCCGGTGCTGCCCAACGCCAGGGGACGCGGGAAGCACCGGCCCGGGGCGCCGCAGCAGTGCACGCGGGGCCGAGGGACACGGGGGACACAGGCGGTGGCTCCGTGCAGCAGCCCCGGCTGCGGCCCGGCCATGCTCCCCCCAGCGAGCGGCCGCAGGACGCGCCAGGCCGCCATGCAGGGCTGCTGCAGCAGGCGCATGCGGCGCCGCGGCACGAGGCAGGGCCCGCCTGGGTGCCCACGGAGACCCCCGGCTCGCTGGCCTCTCCTACGGGATAAGGGCTATGGGATAAGGGACCCGGCTCTGCTCCCTCCCGCGAGCTCCGCGCGCTGCTCCGTGCCCGGGGTTGCACCGAACAGCGCGCGCGGCTGCGAGCGCCCATGCCGGGAGCCCCTAATCCGGCCTGCCTGCAACAGCCTCATTCCTGCTCCCAAGGGGCTCCCTCGCACTCCCCTCCGCGCAGGGACCCCGGCGGGACCCCCACCGGCCACGTCCTGCAGCGCCAGGTGGAGCAGAGCCTCGCACGAGCCAAGCCCCGAGCCCCGAGCTCGCCTCGCGCTCGGAGTCCGCATGCTCGACAGAAACGACTTACAAAAACGAGGGGAGTCAACAAGCACGGACGGAGGACGGAGCCCAATCTGCACCTTAACGAGGGGTGGAGACGCGGGGGCCGGAGCAGGCAGCTCCTCGGCCCCCTTCCACCCCAAGCCCTCGCGCGCTCCCCTCTGCTGGCAGTACCTTCTGATGCCCGAGAAGACAAGGAAAGTGCCACAACACTACAGATACTTAAACTGGCCGGAGACAGCACGGGGGGCAGGACGCCCGCGGCGCCCTCCGCGTCCTCGCCGTCGGAGGCCTCGCCGGCGCACTCCAGGTCGACGGCGGCGATGTCCGAGGGCGTGCTGTAGTACATGCGGCTGCCGCTGCCGCAGGCGGCGCACAGCACGGGCCCGCGCAGCCCGTACTCCCGCAGCTCCGGCACCGCCGCCGCCGCGCGCTCGTCCGCCTTCACCGCCACCATCTTGCCGGAGTGGCCCACGGCCACCACGCAGTCGCAGCCGCCCGCCGGCTGCTCCTCCTCCTCCTCCTCCGCCGCCCTCCGCTCTGTTCTCAAGGCGCCGATGAAGACGATGGGCTCTTCCAAATGGTGAAGGAGCTTGACGGGCGGCTCCTGGCCGGGCGGGGAGCTGAGCGCCTTGAGCGGCACGGAGCAGAGCTGCCCGTCGGGGAAGCCGCACAGGATCATCGGGGACTCGAGCACGGCCGCGTCGACGCCGAAGAGCAGGGAGAAGAGCGGCTCCTCCAGCACGAAGCCCCCCGAGCACCAGAGGCGCTCGCCGGAGCCGGCGGCGCCGGGGGCGGAGGCGCAGCAGAGCACGGGCAGGGAGCGCGCGGCCGCGTCGGCGCCCGCCTCGGCGCCCAGCGCCAGCTCGCTGAGCTGCCGGTACCCGGCGCCCTGCTGCTCGGCCCGCGGCAGCTCGTGCAGCTTCAGCCACCACTGGCCCTGCGCCTGCGACAGGGTGACGACGAAGCTGTTGAGCAGCGTGAAGGTGCAGAGCGCGGGGTCGGGGAAGACGCACGCCTCCGAGGCCACCGGGAAGACGCCAGAAGGGCGATCGCCTTCCTGGCCGTCGCTGTCCGTCTGCTCCATTAACCTTGAGGCAAACACGGAGCGGCGCTCAGCCAAGGCCGGGGCGAAGCCAGCGCTGCTCCTGGCAGCCGCTCGCCCTGGAAGCCACCTGCCCATTGCTCAGGATTTAGCATCTGCCGCAAAAGCAGCCACGTGGGGAGAGCCGGCGCGGCCAAGGGGGTGCCCCGAACCGCGCGGCCCTCGCCAGGCCACGGGCAGAGATGCCGGCGGACGCGGCGACGTCGCGCGGGTCCCGCTGCCGTGGGCGGGAGGTGACAGCGGCCTCACCTGCCCGGCTCCTCCAGGGACACGCAGTAAATCCCGCTGTGGGCGCAGAGGATGAAGAGCTGCTTGGGGTCGGGCAGCAGTTCCACGTGCCACACCTGCTCCGGGCACTTGTACACGGCCTGCGGGAGAGGCGCAGAGCAGCGTCAGGAGCGGACGGCGCGGGAAGCACCGGGAGCACCGGGACACCGGGAGCAGCCGGGACATCCCTAGCAGGGCCGGGAGCCTCCAGCTCCGCGGGCAACGGCACCTCCCGGGCAGCCAGGAAGCGGCTGTGCCTCAGGAATGGCTCCTTCCCGCAAAGGCTCCCGACCGGCATTCCCAGGAACGGCCCCGCTGCTGTTTCCAAGGGTGAAGGAAACTGAGCAGCTCCCGGGAACAGCGGCATTTCCCAGGGACAGGAGCAAGCACCATGTGGGAGCCGAGCACAGGATGAGGCCGGGACAAGAGGGATGCAGCAGGACAAGGGAGGTGCAACAAAGCGGCCGGCGGCTCCCGCGGGAATGGCCGGGGAAAGGGAGCTGTGGGAGCCCGCTCGTGCTCTCCTTTCCCCAGAAGGAGCCCCGTGTAGGAGGCAAACCTTGGTACCGCAGCGGCGGCTTCCTTAGAAATGATAATAAGAACAAATTAAAAAAAGAACCTGTGTATAACTCAACACGGCGACTGCCGTTAGTCACGGCAGAGACAACAGCGAAACCCTTTGTACATGCGGGATGAAAGGGGCGCCGCTCCACTCGGCAAGGGAAAAAACCCAAATCCTTCCCCGCTAATTGGACAGGCCGGGAGACGGGAAGCGGAGGAGCAGGGAGCGTCCGGTGCCGGGCGGATGGGGCCGCCCCGTGCCCACCTTGAGCTCCTTGCCCTCCTGGTCGTAGACGTAGAGGAACTCGCTGCCGTTGGAGAGGTAGACCTCGCTGTCGTGGCACAGCACGCGCGGCTTGCCCGCCGCCAGCCCGCCCAGCGGGCAGCAGAAGCCGGCCAGGTAGTCCAGCCTGTGGCCCGCGTGCGCCATGGCCGCGGCGGGGCAGCCTGCGGACGGGGCGCCGCGCTCAGCGCGGACGGGACCGCACCGGACGGGACCCGCGCGGCCCCGAGCCCGGCTCGGCCCCCGGCGCCGCCGGGAGCCCCGCGGAGCCCCAGGGCCCGGCCCCGAATGGGGCTGCTCTGCTGCCCCTGGCTGCCCCAGACC